CAGTGGATGTATTGTTGTGGGTTGTATAGTTTTCTGCATTGAGGCCTTTATCTTGTGTGTGGTGCTGGTGTGGCACACTCGCCTTGGCAGTTTTCAGCAGGACAGCCCTCATGATGTGTGCTCTGCATGTGTCTATATAGCTAGATGCAGGACTTGCAGTTCTGCGAATTTTTCGCAGGGAAAGCAAACCTTTATCGGGCCATTGCGGCCGGTGGTTACCCTGCTTGCGCTGTGGACCGTTGCTACTTGGAGGGTGATGATTTCAAACACCTCAGCACGAACCCCTTCGACATCCTCACAGCTTCTGGCCTGGCGCGCTATGCTTAGCTGTCAATAGATGATGATGTTCGGCTTACAAGACTGCTAGGCACCCCGAAAGTTGATCTCCTCTATCCTCCCTGGCCGAGGCTTGCCATATATCTTATCCTACAATGCAAAGAGGATCATTTTGTGACTCACTGGGGCATTGTGTGTGGGTCGTGGGTGCATACAAACAAAGCAGTCTCGAAACGCAGCGTGCTGCTGCCGAGCGGCGATGTCTCACGAGAATACGTAAGGCAGGCTAACGCCATGGCCAGCAGGATCCTAGGCTGTCACGCTTTCTAGTACTCATGTGTTGAGAATACTACATGGTCTGATGGTGTTCAACCCCAGCACGCGGTATATGGTGTCCACTGTGGAGAATCCTCAACCTAAAGCTTCTAGTGTTTCCTACGGTTTCCCTTCTACGTGCCTCATGACCCTCACATCTTCCCGAGGATGAGCCTCTTGCTGAAATTGACATTGGCAAGAGGAGGTTGCTACTTTATTGAGCAGCCCAGCTCCAGCCTTCTCGGCTGGTATAGCCGCTTCAAGGAGCTCGATCTCCATGCCACCGCCGCTTGCCTCATGGGCCAGGAGAATCGCAGGGCTTATAGGTCTACAGGGTCGTTACATATAGTGGTGTGGGCGAGGAGGATCGAAGGGTTGTAGGTTTACAAGGAGATGCGAACATCTTTAAAAATCAAGATCTGGCGTCGGTAGCGATCTCACTACATGGTCACAACTACGCAGTCTCACGCTTCTATTCTGGCGTGTAGGGTTGGTTTTGTTTGGGCTTTTAGGGCTTTATAGGGTTTAGGGTGTTTAGCGTATGTAGGGTTAGGTTTTTTTTTTATGTGTGTAAGTGTGTGTCTTTCTAGGGTTTATAGGGTTTGCAGGGTTTATGCGGGCTTATCAGGGTTTATGGGTTTAAGGATTCCCCGCCCCCTATGGTGTGGTTGCGGGTTGGTTTATAGAGGGTTCATAGGGTTTAGGGTCATAGGGTTATTGGTTCCAAGGGGTCATATGGTTTATATAGCGTTTATACGGGTTTAGGGTATACAGGTTGTATATACATATTTCTTTATAATATATATATATATATATATACATGTATATATATGTGTATATATAGAGGGCTTATAGGGTTTAGGGGGCCGGTGAACCGAGAACCGGGATCACATATGTATGTGTGTATCTATATACACACCCTATAAACCCTAACCCTAAACCCCAAAACTCTATAATACAAATATATCCAATATTGCATATATATGTATACATGTGTATTTCCCCACGTATATGGAGTCCTGTAGTGTACCAATAAACCACTCAGCCCCGTGGGAGGATCTAAAAAGTAGCTATCCTTAGGGGTTCCTAAGAGTGCACCCAATATATAAATATAAATATATATATATATATATTGAATACTATAGGGTACTGTTTAGGGGTTCTGCTTTTTCGATCCTCTCAGGGGTCTGGGAAATCAATGTCAACAATAATCTCCCCAAATTGAGCCCCTTGGCCTGCTACCTCTACTAAACGTGCGCAACTTTTGAAACCAGTAATGCTTCACTAGTGTGGGCTCAGAGGTTTGGTTTTCAGTTTGGTTTTTGCGGCTGCACCCCCACTTGAAGTCTCGCGCAGTGCAACCAAACCCTATTGCAGCCCAAGCCCGCAAGAGTCGCACGCATTCACAGCGACAGCCTCTGCAGCAAAGGTTCACGTTATGAGCTGGTGGATGATGCACTATGGATCGGAAACACCCAAAAGGTCGAAGGGTTTTAGCAATCATGCAACTTTTCGGCTGCTGGACAGGGGTCGGCTCTCTCGCGCCGATCGGGAAAGGCGTACCGGCCAGACTTTAGTCAAACGTGGTGTTCGTAAGGATGGAAGGAAAACATGGACTGGTCATGCAAAAGCTCTCAAACAGAGCCAGCTACTTGGCCCAGTTGTAGAGGAAACATGTTTGCAAGCAACGTAGAGCGTTATCCTTCTATTAATCGATGCGTTAGCTATTGTAAGGACCTACCCTGAAGGGTTTGGCTGCGCTGTACGAGATCTCATGCCCCAGCTGCTTCACAACGCCCCAGGGAAACCCGACCCAGTCCCTCCGAGCTTCAACCACCTCGCCTTCGTCCAGACAGCCTTGCCACGGTTGTGCACACTTAAACAATTCCATGCCTTTCCACTGTCCATTTGCCAGAAAAAACCAGCGTTATTCCACTTGCTTTTCCAACTATCTTTTAGCAATTCTTCACTTTAAGTTTTGGGTTTTTAGCTTTTCCGTCTTGCTGTCTTTCAGCTGCTCTGTACACCTCATCTCTACAACGGTGAATTCTTGTGGAATCGGATTCCCAGCCACATTTCCATAACTTTCCAACGGCAAGTCTCCCATGAGTCAGATGATTGGCCAGAGGCAAGCTTGATCCAAGTCCTGAGATATCTACGTGGTAGCAAGCTTCTGGAGCTGCCACTTGATTTGAGGCAGGTCTTTCCGACACGTGTCTAGGAGTGTGCTGTCGGTCAAACCCTACTTACTGCCGGGTCCAGCTTAGACGTGTACACACAAACCCTCAACCCAGAAGAGCAAGTGTTCGAAAAAACAGGGCGTCCTTTCTCTTCCGTTTCTGTAGCAAAACCTACTTGAAAAGGACGCCCGCACCAGAGCAAGTGTTCCCTGAACCCCTACAACCCTCTAACCCGTTTCAACCCTATAAGCACGTACTATGTGATACCGACTTTGCCACCCATTGACAACATGTGGTGGAACGTGAAATGCAGTTAAATTTGCTTGCTTTTTGGGAGAGCTTTGGGAAGTGTCACTTTTGACCCTCCACCCCCCCCCACCCCCCACCCCACCCCCCCCACCCCCCCACCCGGGTGGGGGTTGGGGGTGGGGGGGGGGTTTTGGAGTGGGGTGGGGTTGGGGGGGGGGGGGGGGGATTCAGGGCGGGACTGGGGGGGGCGGGGCTGTGGGGGGGGGGGGGGGGGGGGGGGGAGGGGGAGGGGGAGCCCCAATAATGGAGCGTATGGCTGGATTTTTTTGTTGGGTGTGTGTTCGTTTCGGCGCCAAAAAACAATGATGCGCGCGCGCGCGCGCATCATGGTTTTACACACACACACACACACTCACACACTCACACACACACACACACACACACACACCCACACCCACACCCACACCCACACCCACACCCACACCCACACCCACACCCACACCCACACCCACACCCACACCCACACCCACCCCCACCCCACACCCACACCCACACGCACACGCACACGCACACGCACACGCACACGCACACGCACACGCACACGCACACGCACGCACACGCACGCACGCACACGCGCACACGCACACGCACACCCACACGCGCACACGCACACGCACACGCACACGCACACGCACACGCACACGCACACGCGCACACCCACACACACACACACACACCCACTTTTTACAGACATATACACACCCGCCCCGCGTACATACACACATACATACATACCTCTGCTACCATATCTATATATATATATATACATATACACACACATATATATATATATACACACATCTCAATATATATATATATATATAGTATGTATATATACATACTATATATATATGTGTTATTATTATTATTATGTTTATTTCTATTTTTTATTATGATTAAAATTCTGAGTATTATTATTTCGCAATCGGAAGAATCTACCTCCATGTTGTCCAGTATAAAGAAACAGTGACACTCCCTGGCCTGGCATTTTCTGTTGGCTTGGAGATGAATGTCTCTGGGTCGGCGCCTAACGATGGGGAGGTTTGGCCTCCTGCAATTCGTGCGCATACTTGATGCGTGCGGATGCATGTAGCCCTGCCGCAGAGTTCAAGTTCTGCCAAGAGCATGCAACACATTGTCCATCTTTTGTCAACCCTTTATGTGCGCTAAAACTACCTGCAGTTCGAGGTTGTTGGAGCTATAGTTGGGTGTCTTTAAGGAAATTTAGTGGATTGTGTGAGGAAGGGGTTTTTGATGGTTCTTATGGGGATACAGTAGGCTTTTAGGGTTTTTAGATGGTTTTTTTGGGGTCACTCGCGGTTTTCAAGGGATTTTTTAGGTTTTTGGAGGCGAAACACGGCGGGACCCGTTCGAAACCCGTTCGAGGCATGCAAAACCCGTCGTTTTGCCGTCTTTTAGGTGGAAAACCCACACCCGTTCATCGCCCGTTCGAAACCCGTTCGAGGCACCAACCCGTTCCCAAACCGTTCCCGAACCGTTCCCGAACCGTTCCCGAAGCGTTCGCCCCCGTTCGCCTAGGTGCCTGTTAGTCTGTCTTTTGCCGACTAATAGTCGACCGTCTAAGCCCCCAAAAAGCTTATCTCCTCACCCGAGATAAGACTATTTAGTCAATTTAGTCCAATCGTTCCAAGTTTCTGCCGCACTTGATCTCTGCTGGAGTGGCGCTGTGCAGAAGTGCTATCAGCGTGCCTCAGACCACTGAGGAAAGTGCTGTGCTGGTTGATCTGTCACGTGTCGTGTGTGCTCTCCTAACTTTATTGTCGGCTTTGCTTGGGTTCAAGGGTGTGACGCGCACCATATAGTGACTGCATCATGTCTGGTTTGGACAAGTCTGCTACTCTGCAGAGCCGTGCTTGGAGCTCAGACTCTTTGAGGGCTGGTGCAGAGTACTGCCAATTCATGTCCGGGGCGCCGCTATCCAGCGATCGGTACTCCAACCTCTCGAAGGAGAAGCTTATCCGGAAGCTCCAGGACGTAGAGTCATTGCGATTGCCCAAATGCGTGTTTTACAATTCTGCCCCCGCTCTTGTAGACTGCTATAGCAATCGTTTACCACTAGCACAAGCCCGGCAGCACCTTAGGAGGCGCAGGCTTTGCTCGATAAGCAGAAATCGCAAGCTGTGAAGCAGGAGGACCAACAACACTTGCACGTGGTTGCGTATAGCTACTTGTGTTTGTCCAAACTTCTAAAAAGGTTGGTTTATATATAGATCGAGGGTTTAGGGTTTAGGGATTACAGGGTTTATGGTGTGGAGCACCTCAGCTTCCCAACACCAATCAGAGGAGCAAGCTCTTGCTGACTCACAAAGTACAACGGTGCCCATGCAACACATACTTTTGGTGCTTCGATAGTTCCTCGATCGACCCTTATCTACAACACTGCTTGCTGCCTTTCCTTGTCCAAGGTGCCTGGGTGCGACTCGCAGAGCTCTCCTGACAGTCGTGTGAAGGAGGAGCTGGAGGACACACTGGTCATGGAATCACCCGAACCGGTTGGCCTGGCTACGCCTGTTGGTGTACCGGACAAGAGACCGTTTCAGGGGGAAGCTGCTTAGTGTGGAATGGGCTTCAGTTTGATGTATATAGGGTGTATAGGGTTTATATAGGGTTTAGGGTTTATAAGGTTTTATAAGGTTTAGGGTTCAGGGTTTATACATATATAGGGGTTATAGGGTTTGTCGGGTTTAGGGTTTAGGGTTTGGGGTTTAGGGTGTATAAATATATGGGTTTAGGGTTGTTTATAATCTATAGGGTTTAGGGCTTAGGGTTTCAAACATCTACCCCGATCCTATACATCTGAGGCTTTGCAGAGCCCTGCAGCATCTGAGTCATCGGATCATGGGAACATGCAGGCTTCACTGCCCGAGCTTCGCAAGCAGCTCTCGCATCTGTTTGAACAGATTTCCTCCTTGGAAGCATCCACACCGGATCACTCGCACCACCGTGCGCCCTCGAGCATGAGCCTGGAAACCCCAAGTGCCAAAAAGTCAAGCCCGCCTCTTCGTGGGCAAACGTCCAAGTCGCAGGCTCCGAAGCGAGCAGCAGCGACCCCAGCACACGTGGAGAGCAAACAGCCGGAGGCAACAGCAAAGCAAGCAGCAGCGACCGCAGCAGGCGTAGGCGTGGTGAGCAGAAAGCCGGAGGCGACAGCAAAGCAAGCAGCAACGACCCCAGCAGGCGTGGAGAGCAAAAAGCCGGAGGCCATAGCAAAGCAAGCAGCAATGACCCCAACAGGCGTGGAGAGCAAAAAGCCCGAGGCAACACCAAAGCAAACAGCACCGGCCCCGCAGAGCAAGCCGCACGTGGCGTTGAACATTGTGTCGGACTATTTGGACCAAGCGTACGGCAGGAGCCACAGGTCACCGAGGGATCGACACGCCAGCCCAGATGACACCCCAAAGGCAACATCCCCAACCGTGGCGCCAGCGCCCGCCCAAGACAAGGAACAGCAGGGTTCGCAAGGCAACAAGAGCAAAAAACCGGAGGCACCACCAGCCATGGACCCCGTAGAAGAGCAGTTGCAGGCACTCCGCAAGCAGATCGCGCAGCAAGCAGAAACCATAGTGCAGCTCCAGCAGAACCCCCCGCAGCCTGACCCACGGCTGGCAGCGATCCAGCAACTGTCCGAGCAAGCCAAGCAGCAACAGGAGGCCATGGAAGCGCTCCGAAAGCAGCAACACGCACCTGACACAACAGTCAAAGCCGCGCCGCCCAAGTCCCCTGCTCCTGCTGCAGACCCTGCTGCAGACAAAGCGTTCTTTGGTGATGACGACGCTGATGTTATCACTATGCCTGATGGTGTGAAAGCTACTCGACAGTTTACATTGCTGCAGTAGTGTGTATGCTGTTACGTTGCTTGTCGACACTATTTTAGGTGATATCCAGAGACGCGCTTCGTATGCGCCTCAAACGTCTCTGTGAAAAGAAGAAGAGCGGAAAGATGTGGGTCTCCAGCGAGACCCATGAGGAGTATTGTAAAGGTGGCGCTTCTCGGGAGACTCTCGAGATTGCCTTGCTCGAGACGCTGAGGGCTTTGGGGCCTGGGGATGACAAGCCGGATCGCGTTCGGGTCGGCTCACTTTCGGTACTTTCTACATGTTTGTGACGCCAACTGCAATATTATAATATGTACTGATCATGACTGTTCATGTGGGGCAGGCCGGCTTCCTTACCAAAGTCATCCATGTCAAAGAGCGCATGCTTGCGCGGGAAGAAGAGATCACAGGAGAATGGTTGACCGAAGAGCGAATGAAAAACAAGCACGGTTGGGGGAAGTATCTTGTCTTCTGTTAAATGGCAGTTGCGTGTGTTGACGCAAGTACACTTGCGCTAAGCGAACACTTACAGGGAACTCATCAAGCAGATCACCACATACTGCGCAAAGTTCCCGGCCACGCTGACAAGGCGGGGTGCTTAATCCATTCCCCCTAATATTAATACCCCCCCCCCCCCTAATATAAAAATCCCCCCGGCCCCAAATACCGATCCCGGGTCTGTCCCTATTAACACCTCTACAGAGTTAGGGGGGGATTAGGGGGGGGTGGAGGCCCTAAACCCTATAAACCCATAAACCCTAACCCTAAACCCTAAAACCCTCGACCCTAAACCTAACTAAACCCTAACCCTGACCCCTCGCTACAATAAGGACGGGCTGGTTTCTCGGACAAACGATAAGAACCCCCCCCTAATACTAAAAACCCTTCGGGGGTTTTTATACAAGGGGGGAGGGGGGGGGGGGGGTTTATTATATGAGGGGGAACGGATTATATGTGTATTTCCAAGTTCGCTGCCGGCCTCCTTCCCATCATCCTGCGACTGGAGCCATTTCCTTGGCTAGGAAGCCCAGAACCATTCTTTGACCTTTGAACCCGTAGGCGACTAGTGTAGCCCCAGGGCAGCAATGGTTTATGGGTGCTGGGTTCGGGAACGTATGGGGTTTAAGCCTGGCTAGGTAACCCGATCGACTGACGCTGCACAAACCCTAAACCCTATAAACCCTAAACCCTATAAACCCTAAACCCTATAAACACTAAACCGTAAACCCTATAAACCCTAAACCCTGCACTATGAACCCTATAAACCCTATATAACCCCTAAACCCTAGAAACCCTATAAACTATAAACCCTATAAACCCTAGCCCTAACCCGAGGCTTAAATGTTTTGCAGCAATGCTGTTGGGAAGTCCCAAAGTGCAACAGCAAATCATCCGTGCGCCCTGAACGGTTTGTGTGTGCAAAACCCTATTAACCCTATACACCCCTAACAAAACAATTTCTAAGCTTGTAGAAACTTACTTCGCCCAAGATCAGGCAAATCCTGTAGAGCCCATCTTGAAGCCCAACCGCCAGCCCAACCTGCAGCATATCCCTGCCAGACCTTGGAAATACAACGCCTCCATTCTCGAGTATTTCGTGGAGCATGAAGAGACAGCCAAGGTTCGCAAGAGCGACATCGACCGACATGTGGAGTCCACGGAAGAGGCATGGAGGGATGTGTGCCGGTATTGATAGTGAATGTAGTGCCTTTAAAGACATCCAAGAGCCCTGGTGCCAGGAGAAAGCCGGGACGCAGCACCTCCAACTCGAAGCCGGCCTTGCCTCGGGCGCTGCGAAGCTTCAGCTGAAGGATCTTACCGAGGCGCCTAAGCCTGCGGCGGAGTCTACCAAGGCTGGATCTGGTTGCTGAGGACATGTGGTTGCCACTATACATAATACATGGCGGTTTTGTTTGCCTTTGAGTAGGTAGCCGAGGAGGTCAAGTCTTACACAGATGCTGTGAGTGGGAAAATGACAAGCATCGCGAAGATGCTGACGCAGCTTCGCGAGCCCTACAACCCCAAGCCTGATGATGCCAGTATCCAGTGTCGTGATGCAGTCTAACATGTTCACCCGACCCCTGAATCTTGAACATGTTTATGTCAAGAACCAGCTGAGGCTGTGTGAGGATCTTGACAAGATGTATTCCAGCCTGAGTGGAGCATATGGGGACCTGGCTGCGATGGTGGCGAAATTGGAGATGGATGCAATGGGCGCATGTGGCATCGCAGCGCAACTTTATTGCAGCACAGGTCTATGGGGTTGCATGTTCGTTTTGCAGGGGGTTCATAAGGGCCCTAGTTGCCTCACATACACTAAAGGGGTTTATCGGGTTTTATGGGTTTTCGGGCTTCGTGGTTTTCACATCATGGAGAGATACGTGTGGATAAACGTGAGACTAGTTGTGCTTTTGGTTCGGGAGCCCAAAGGCGTCGATGAAGCTTCACCTTCTCCATGTAGCACGGGGCTTGTGTTTCTTGGTTTATAGGGACAGGCTTCGGCTTTTGTCTTTTACCCCTGCAGTAGGCAAGATCGGTACCTCCGAGCCCCATCCCAGGCTAAAACTGGACTTTTCGAAGATTCGCGAGAGGGTTGCAGCGCCGCTACTTGGCTTCATCTAAACAAATGGTGCAGTGTCGCTCACTCCCCTTCCTTCCCCTCCCCCCCTAGTTATGGTAATTCCCCCCTCCCCCCGCCTGTGCCTAAACCCAACACCCACCCTCACTATGTAGGTAGACAAACCCCATGCCCTAAACCTTATATATATATATCAAACCCATGCACTTTACACTTATACAACCCATAAAGACCCTTCAAAGCTCAAAAAACACAACGGCTTGAAAGCCCTAAGACCCCGACGCCCTAAAACCCTAAAGAACCCTTCCTGGCGAGTAGCCCTGCCCTATACGAGACAAGCTCCAGCTGTGTCCAAGGTGCGCGGAGCTTATCGCCAAGGAATCTCAGTTCAAGCCCCTTGGTTGCAGTCCCAGCACCCACCACACGACTAAGTCCTAAACCTAAACCCTAAACCCTATAGAAACCCTAAACCCCATAACCCTATAAACCCTATAACCCGTATAAACCCCCTAAACCCTAAAACCCTAAACCCTAAACCCGTTTTCTCTGCGGGGTACTGTGCATTCAGTTTGCTTGGCCAAAGCATATAAGGCTTCTCTTGAAGAACATCAACACTCTCCGCAAGGCCCAGAAGAATGGCGATGATGATGCTGATGATGCTGGTGCTCCTGAGGTTACCAGGCCCCGTAGGCGCAAAGTGCGAGGCCAGACCCAAAACCAGGCCACCCCAGTCAAGACGCCAGCGCGGCGTGTAAGGCAGAAGGGGGCCGCGAGCGCGAAGTGAACCAGCTGTGTGCAGCTGAAAGCAACATGTGTCGTTGCGATTTTGATGTTTGCTGTGTGATTTCGAGCGCTGTTGTGTGGAATGTGTGAGATCACATGATTCCACGCCGAACCTGCTCTGTCTAAGATGAGTGGGCCCAGAACTCTATCTTTCAATGGGGAGCACATTGTGCGTCTTGCGCTGCGAGAAAGTCAGAGGGTCTCATTGGGGCACTGTTGCATCGTGCTGTATACTTGGTCTCTCTTTCTCTCATCTCCTACATAATTGAGTGGAATAGGTTTTTTTTTAGGGTTTAGGGTTTTTAGGGCTATCGGGTTTATGTAGGGTCTATAGGGCTGAGGAGTTTAGGACTCCCAGGGTTTAAGTTCAGGGTCTGTAAGTAGATTAGATAGACGCGACCTATTGGTACGTGAGCGTACGACATTCGGAGAACCCGAAATTCTATTTGTTATCCCAGAATCCAAAGCGTACAAAGCAAACAAATACTCCAACAGGTTCCCAGTTCAGGTTTTTTGGGTTTGTGGGTTTAGGATGTACAATAGGGTTTGTAGTGTTGATAGGGTTTCAGGGTGTACAATAGGGCTTATAGTGTTTAAAGGGTTGTTTTATAGGGTCTAGGGTGTAGGGGTTTAGGACTGACAGGTATACATATATATATATATATATATATGTATATATCTATATATCTATATGTGTATGTATATGTATATATGTATATGTATATGTATATGTAGATGTAGATGTATGTATATGTATATGTATATGTATATGTATATGTATATGTATATGTATATGTATATGTATATATATATATATATACATATAGGGTTTATAGCTCGAGGATTTTGGAGTTTATAGGGTTTATAGTTAGACACGACCTATTGGTGCGCTCTAAGCCAATGTAGACCTTAGCAATTCTGAACCCTAAGCCCTAAACCCTTTTGTGGAGGCCCTTGGATTTAGGGGCGATGCTTGATTATGGAAGAGCTTCCAATAATATGTACCCTAAACCCTAAACCCTAAACCCTAAACCCTGAAAACCCTAAACCCTAAACCCCACCTCACATCAGGTCAGAGCTCCTTACGGGCATACATTCTACTTGTCACCCCGCAATCCAAAGCATACCTTATCCCGAAAGCAAACAAATACTCCATCGAAGTACTCCTGGTTCCCCCCACCCCAAAACTACATACCCAGCACACTCAATGCCCAAACTTTCGTGCCAGGTTCATCCAAGACGGCTCGGTCGCTGGCTGGTGATGTTGGGCGCGGTGTCCCTGCCAGGCAAGCGATACGCACTGCTAAAAGTGTGGTGGCGGATTTTGGTCGGGGGCATTGTCGGGTGCTAGATGGCTTATCCAAAGGATCTGAGAAAAAATCCGAGCCTTAGTCCTCAGTGCTGGAACTACGTTACATTCATTTGGTAGCAAGTGCTTTGTTTGGTCTTCTATATAGTATCGTACCTGGTACTGTGGTTTCTCTAACCATCACCAAACCCCCCAAAACCCTATGAACACTCTCTGGCTTCATGGGATTTGGGGTGTAAGAGGTTGGTTCAGGTAGCCCCCTTACAGGCTGTTATAGGGTGAGGTTGTGTCCAAATTCTGTAGCCCGAACCTTCAAACGTTTGCTTATCGAAGCCTGATCAGAACACTGAACATTTTCAATGCACATTCATCCCCAGAAGCCTTTCAGCCACCCGCTTAGATTCTTCCAAATGTCTGCGCCTGAAGCCGAACCCACAGCGAAAACCCATCCCTCAAGAGCCACAATGCAGTGTCAAGGAAGATGTGGTGCAGCGCGCGATGCGCTGCTTACGGCTGGATGTGAACATCAGCTATGTGCCAATCACTGGCCTCGAGGGCACCTACCCTGTATTGAAGTGTTCGGACTTCCTAAAGTATATGGATCGCTACAGTTATTGGGACAAGGTTTTGGGCGTGGGTGTGCGCCGGCTGGATGATGCGCGTGAGCGCCTGGAAGACTTCTGGACCAGACACAAAAGAATACACCCGCTACATCCAGTGCACCAAAGAGCAGCCTCCGAAAACATTCCTTTATCTCGCGTAATACCTATAATGGTCCATGGCGATGAAGGCAGTCATTACAAAAAGC